CGCAAGCCCCCCGGCCGCTCCTTCATCGAATCCGCCGGCCGCGCCGTTCTCAAGCCCACCGGCTGCCGCTCATTCTAGCCGCCGGCCGTTCTTTACTCAAGCCGTAGAGTAGCGCTTGTTGTTTGTCATTTCTCCGATCACAAATGCAGACATGGTTTTATGTTTACGCGATGCAATGCGTAAAAATACAGTATATTTCATTATAATCTGCAATTATGTCCCCATTGGATGCAGCAAATGCCTCGTTCATAATGGGTTTTAATATTTTTGTCCTGTCGCTCCGGCCGGACAGGGCATCACAGTATGGTAAAGGGGCGTAACATTTCGGTCACACGCTTGAGGTATTCGGCCAATCACAACGCACTGGATAGCTGGCCAATCAGAGCACACTTTTCAGACCGATGAGCTTTGTAAAAATCGACGCGTTTCAGAAAGGCGGGGCATAGAGGAGAAACAATAATGTACAATATGTGAAAAATAATGCGTTTTTTTAACCGTAAACCGCATAAACACATTTCATTACACCAAATACACAAAATAATGTTCTTTTTAGCAACATCATATGACCCCTTTATTGCAGCCTAAAAATCCTTTAACGGATTTGAAAATTAGAAATGTGTTAGTGTGTTATGTGTAAGCCAGGTTAAAGAGATGGGTCTTTAATCTAGATTTAAACTGACAGAGTGTGTCTGCCTCCCGAACAATGTTACGTAGGTTATTCCAGAGTTTGGGCGCTAAATAGGAGGAGGATCTGCCGCGCACAGTTATATATTAGGTATTAGGCAGATATTCTAGGTACTATCAAATTGCCAGAGTTTTGAGAACTCAGCGGACTTGGAGGACTATAATGCAATAAGAGCTCGTTCAAATACTGAGGTGCTAAAGCATTCAGGGCTTCATAAGTAATAAGCAAGATTTTAAAATCTATACGATGTTTAATAGGGAGCCAGTGCAGCGTTGACAGAACCAGGCTAATATGGTCATACTTCCTGGTTCTAGTAAGAACTCTAGCTGCTGCATTTTGGACCAGCTGAAGTTTGTTTTTGTAACATGGGAAATATGATTTTCAAAAGACAAGTTACTGTCTAATATAACACCCACATTTTTGACTGTTGAGAAAGTAACAGTACATCCGTTTAGTGGCAAATTGTAATCCATGAGTTTCTGTGTACTGTTTTTTGGTCCAATAAGTAATATCTCTGCCTTATCCGAATTTATTAGGAGACAATTATTGGTCATCCAATCTTTTACATTTTCAACACACTCTGTTAGCTTAGATAATTTAGAAGTTTCATCTGGTCTTGTTGAGATGTATAGTTGAGTATCATCAGCATAACAGTGGAAACTAATCCCCTATTTTCTAATAATATTACCAAGGGGCAACATGTATATTGAAAATAGCAGAGGACCTAGGACAGATCCTTGTGGCACTCCATATTTTACTGGTGATAATTGAGATGACTCCCCGTTTAATTAAACAAAGTGGTAGCGATCGGACAGGTAGGATCTAAATTCTTCTGATGACGAAGAATTGACAGAGCAGCCATCAAGTGTTAGACAGTGTTCTAGGTTATTAAATGCGGAGGTTTTAGGTCTGATAATAAACACTTCTGTTTTTTTCAGAATTTAGCGGTAAGAAATTACTCATCATCCAGTTTTCTATATCGACTATGCATTCCATTAATTTGTTCAAATTGGTATGTTTCGCCGGGCTGAGAAGAAATATAGAGCTGAGCATCATCAGCATAACAGTGAAAGCTAACACCGTGTTTCCTGATGATATCTCCCAAGGGTAACATGTAAAGCGTGAAAAGTAACTGCCCTAGTACTGAGCTTTGAGGTACTCCATATTGCACTTGTGATTGATATGATACCTCTTCATTTACTGCTACGAATTTATGGCGGTCAGATAAGTACGATTTGAACCATTCTAATGCACTTCCACTAATGCCAACAAAGTTTTCTAGTCTATTCAAAAGAATGTTATGGTCAATAGTGTCAAATGCAGAGCTAAGATCCAGTAGCACTAATAGAGAGATACAATCACAATCAGATGATAAGAGCAGGTCATTTGTAACTCTATTGAGAGCAGTCTCAGTACTATGATACGGTCTAAATCCTGACTGGAAATCCTCACAGATGCCATTTTTCTCTAAGTAGGATATAATTGTGAGGATACTACCTTTTCTAGTATCTTGGACAGAAAAGGGAGATTCGAGATCGGTATGTAATTAACTAGTTCTTTGGGGTCAAGTTGTGGTTTTTTGATGCGAGGCTTAATAACAGCCAGTTTGAAGGTTTTGGGGACATATCCTAATGACAAAGACGAATTAATAATAGTCAGAAGAGGATCTATGATTTCTGGAAGCACCGCTTTTAGGAGCTTAGATGGAAAAGGGTCTAACATACATGTTGTTGGTTTAGATGATTTAACGAGTTTATAAAATTCTTCCTCTCCTATAGTATAGAATGAGTGGAATTGTTCCACAGGGGATCTATAGCACACTAGCTGATGCGATACTGTAGCTGACAGCTGCATGGTTACAATTTTATCTCTAATAGTATCAATCTTGAAAGTAAAGTAATTCATAAAGTCATTACTGCTGTGCTGTTGAGAAAAAGGCAACACCTGTTGATGTTTTATTTTTGTTAATTTAGCCACTGCATTGAATAAATACCTGGGGTTATGTTTGTTGTCTTCTAAAAGAGACGAAAAGTAATCAGATCTAGCAGTTTTGAATGCTTTTCTGTAGGATAGGGTACTTTCCCGCCAAGCAATACGAAATACCTCTAGTTTTGTTTTCCTCGAGCTGCGCTCCATTTTCCGGGCTGCTCTCTTTAGGGAGTGAGTGTGCTCATTATACCATGGTGTCAAACTGTTTTCCTTAATCTTCCTTAAGCGTAAAGGAGCAACCATATCTAAAATATTAGAAAAGAGAGAGTCCATAGTTTCTGTTACATCATCAAGTTGTTCCGAGTTATTGGATATGCTGAGGAATTGAGATAAATCAGGAAGATTACTTACAAAGTTCTCTTTTGTGGTAGAAGTGATGGTTCTACCATACTTGTATGATTTTGACAATTAGTAGGTCCTGACACGTTGTCACGGGTTGCTACTGTGAGGAGCACGGAGCGAGGAACGAGGAGATCAGGAGTACAAAACAAAGGAGTTTAATTCTTTTTTTCAGGGAATCACACATAGGAGTTGACAAACAATTCCAGACAAGGGAGAACAGAACGGGCTAGAACTAAATAGGGCAGATAACGAGGGGCAGACAGGTGATGGGGATAACTAATAACCAGGAACAGGTGATACTAATAAAGGGAAAAGGAACTGGAAGGACCAAATAAGGACAACAAGAACATACACATGACAGATCGGCGTGGGAACAGTACCTTTCGAGGAGCTGGCACTGGAGTGAGTTTTGGGGCTGGAGCCGGCTCTGGGGGGTGCTCTAGAGATGAAGGAGGGCTGGACGGAACCAGCAGAGACTCAGGAAACTCAGGAGACTATGGAGAGCTGGACGGAACCAGCGGAGACGAAGGAAAGCTGTCTAGAGCGGATTCTGGGGTCACATGAATGCTTGGAGGGCTTGCCATATTATTGTTCAGGGGCTTGCCATATTATAGTCCGGCGGGCTTGCCACATTAACGTCCGGCGGGCTTGCTTTATTAATGTTCAAGCAGAATGTTAATGTCATCTTGTGCTTCATCAAGGTGTCTCTGGCTAAAACTAGCTAATGTTAAAGTTAGTGAGACCACTAAAGTTAGTGAGTAAATAGCTAACTGTTCTTACGTCATGTACAGTGTAGGTCAAAAACACATAAACGAAGGTCTACATTTCAGTGCCTCTCCATATTAAACTGGTTAAATGTAAATTAATTTAATCTTACCCTGCGGTACATGAATCCTGGATGTTATCATCTGCGATCGTGACGACCGTAACATGATGCTCTCCTGCTTGCATTGTGATCTGTAAACCCTCACTTCCAAATTAATCTTGTTACCCACCATATTTATTTTAAAATCTTTTATATATCCCAAGGTTTTCACACTGACAGCTGTCATTGTAAGACAGCTAGCAACTTCATTTGTTTGTCCGAGTTCACAACAGAAACTAAGGGGGGCGAGGCTTACCGATAGGTCAATTGCCATAAGTGCAATTGTTGAGAGAGGGAACAGTGAAGGCCCATGTTATGTGTCAGGTGTGTGTTCAAGTAGTTGCATTTGCTTATTATTGCCACTGTTAGTACATAGTTATAGGTATCTAAAGATGTATATGCCCTCAGTTTCTATTTACTATACACGCTCGGTTTCTCTATCTGGTAGGTGTGTCAGGCCACTCCTGTCAGATCGTCCATCCATTGAGTGAGTGTGTATGAGTCAGCCAATCTGGTTCCTTCCGTTAAAGTTAACATTTTCAAATAACAATTACGATCCTAGACAGTGAGTGACATTACATATTCAAATAAAATCACATTTTCTCCAGTCATTTTTTAATAAACAAGCAAACAAAAAATGCTAGCTAACGTTAGTGAAGCAGTCAGGGGAATCTTTCTGCCTCCACCTAAGCTCCGCCCATAAAAAAAGGTCACAGTGTTTACTAACTGAAAAGGGGTCTATTATTGAGGCTTTTTTCTTCATTATAATATCAAGACAGTTGTACCGCCATTTTTGATAATTTGCCCCAATTTGCAATTAATTGGAAATTAAAAATATGCTCATTATAGAAGATGTGTATTCAAGTCATGCATGAATTGAATTTGTATTTTTGAATAAATAGATAATGACAAAAAAATTGTCTCGTTATTGACCCATATGCCCTCACTATTTGGCTGCATGTGTTTGTGCAGGAGCAAACGGATGGAATGACGCTGGTGAAAGAGGAGGGTGATAAAGAAGAGGGCAAGCAGGAGCCGGAGGTGGTGTATGAGACCAACTGCCACTGGGAGGGTTGCTGCAGGGAATTTGACACCCAAGAGCAGCTTGTGCATGTGAGTGGACACCACATTTATGTTATCAATTGAAATATCAATTGAAATGTTTAGTCTCTTAATAGAATCATTTATGATAAGGCTCTCAGATAGGTGGAAAATACACACATACACACACAAACACCTTGAAAGCCTATACTTGGCTTCAGACATCCCATTTGTCACAGCCACTCCCAAGCTTAAGCAGAGAGTGAAAGGACATGAAAGCCCACTTTCTGTGAAAATACAACAGTTCCCTTTAACCATTTCTCTCTGGACACCACACACAGACATTCTTTAACTACTCTTTTCTCCTATAATCCACACAAATACACATTTTCACAGAAACACACACCAACCCCAAAGACATCTGATAGAAAGATTCCCAGTTCTCCACAGCTGTCTATCCCTACTCTGACATGGCAATCCATGGCAGCCATGCTAACCCCTATCTATAATTGAAAGCCTCCAGTTGGAATGGCCAGCATCACACATTTGAAGTCTTGTCCTCAAAGCTTAAAGGTCTTGACAACTTGTTGCCTGTGCCTTTGAAAGAGGGATATATGTGCATTTTGCTATATGTAACAATTATTTTTCGGTTTTAGGCAAAATCTTTAATTCAGTAATTGAGTTGACAAATTACACAGACATTAATTTTCAAATAAAAATTTTAGACTACATTTAGTTAAAAATCTATACTGTGTGTGTGTGTGTTATACAATTATGAAATTATACAATCTAATTCATATAAAAAAACAACTGCTCATGCTATGTGTGTGTAGCATCTTTATTTGGATCATGATTAAAATGCAGTGTTTGCCTCTAATTTCAAATGCTTACAGATATTTTTGTTTTAAGCCAGTTTGCCTGTTATAGAGCAAATAAATAACAAATAACTTAGCTTAAAGGGGAAAAAAAAGATAATTGGTATCAGAATTGGCCAGTTTGCTTGTAAAAAAAAAAAAATTGGAATCAGCCAT